GATATAAAAAAGAATGCAAGTTTTCAGACCAGCACTTGTCTGTATAATTTTCTTGGCAAATTTTACTATTTTTGTAAAAGGGTCTCTTAAATAAAGCTATATATAATTAAATTCGGAGTACTGGACGCATTAGAATGCATTAGATTATTTGTATCTAAGAGTAACGAGAAAGAGTATAGGATACTAATGTAATTACGTTGCATTTCTCTAAAGTATGTATAACTTATATCTGTCATGATTTTTTTGGTATGGAACACTTTATTGCACAGTAACTGCAATGTATCGTTACTAGATTAAACATCCAACTTTGACTTTTGTACCTTTTGTAATTTTATTAAATGAATTCAATTATGCATGAAACATAAATAATGAACCAGAACTTATTGCATGGATCACTCAAATACGTGCATGCATGTTTTTTATCAATTTAAAGCAGTTTATTCTTAAAAGCAGATGTAAAAGAAAATTAAAAAATAAAATAATCTGTTCCTGTAATTGTATAATGATTTAATTGAATATCTAAAGTATGACTCTAAAAATTAAGCAAATTCCCAGCTATTTTTTCAATATAAAGGCTCATATATACACTTCTTATATGTTTACATAGTATCCACTCACTCTTCCTTGGACTCTACTCTTAGGTTTTCTCTAGAATTAAGCAGCTGCTAGCTTGAATCACTAGAAGTAGATATGTGCAGCTGACGTTTGCCACACCTTTGGGGGTGTGATTGGTCCTAGCTGCTAGTAGAAGCAATAGGGCTGACAGGACTTAAAGGGCTACGTGCTGAATCCCTGAGACAACCGGTCAATGTTATAATTAATTTGCGACTTCCTGCTTGATCACGATGTTCGCAAAACCAAATACCTTGCCATGTACCAAGGGCTAACTTCCCATCCGTAATTGGAATACTTAATGAAGATCCCAAGAAGCATGCTTTTACATGTGCCGGCTAAAAAAAAAGAATCAAAGTTAAAATTGTTAATATATTTAATTTTTTAATCATAATTATAAATAACACAACTCGTTATAATCGTATTAATTTATAATTATATTTTATAATTATTACAGAATTAAAGAACTTACCATGTCGTCTGGACCTTCACAGTTATGTCGATACTCTAATCCTTCAGGAATTATTTTATTAAGCATCATTTCCATATCATCTCTTACATCAGGGTCCCAGCTTTCATTTAATGCTAAACTAGCTGATGTATGAAGAACTATTATAAAAAGTAAATATGATCTTTTTAAAACTTAGTCATATATATATATAGAATGCTGTTATATATAATAATAATAGATTAAAGAATCAACTAATAGTTACATGAATAAAGAAATCAATTTTTTTCAAATACTTCCTAAAACTTCTTCTCCTGAAAATATCACATATACACTGCACACGTACATGACTTAGCAATAGTTGAAACTCTCATCTCTATTCTAATAATTAAGATTTAAAAAAAAATGGTGTAAACATATCTAATGTAACTTAATAATTATTTATTGATTTTTAAATATTAAATAATATCTTAAATAAAAAACAAAGCCATAATACGGCATAGGACACATGCTTTATACTTTAATACATATTTTTATAACATTGATTATGGTATATATTACTTATATCATGTCAAAGATTTACAGTTAACAATATTTACAAATTTGTGTGTACTTTTGCATATATTATATATATACATATATGTACATACACATATATATATATATACACACACCACACACACATTACAGTATAATTCATATACATGTATATATAATGCAATATATGTTATATATACATGTGAATATGTATACACACACGATTGCAAGACAGTACAAAAATCGTTTGTCTGAAACAAAATTACTTACTCTGTATGTGACAAAGACCAACAGAGAACTGATACAGTTCTGGAATTTGTCTTAAAATTTCTTCGGTGACAAGATGTACGCCACGATGCTGTGGTCTTAGGTTAATTTTAGTTTGATACCAGGCCGAACCAATTTGTATACCTCTATTTGACGAGGCCATGATATGGTAATTTTTATGGAAGGATCGCACGTTTAAATGGAACGGACAATAATTCCTTTTTCTGCGATGTTGTGTAAACTGCGGTCAGTCTATTAGAAGCCGAAAATCACGATTGTACAGTCAACTCCATTTGAGAAACACTACACACGTCTCGCATAGAAAATTGTTTGACTATTCACAAATGCGGAAGAACCACATCCCACGAAACGTATTAATGTTTGATTGTCTAACTTAGTTCTATCTGTGTAAAACGTTTATTCACGAAAACGTGAAATAGAACGATTGCCTTTACGAATATTTAAAGGTATGTGTATTCGTGTTGCGTTCACAGACTTGTATCACAGTTTAACAGTCGGTCGACTCCATGTCTATATCCCTTGATAGTCGTGCCGCCGGAAACCGCCATTATTGACGATGACGACCCCGACTCTGTTAGCTTTAGATATACCAGTTGGATATGTTCAGATAAGTCAGTAGCGGTCAGTAATGTTATATATCGTCCACAGAATATCGTTCATAGAAATAGCCTTAAGAGGGATGTGGCAGCACGAATTTATGCCAGATATACAATTGGAATTGATAGGCGCGATTATATGATTCCATTTTCGATTCACTATCCTTTATATTCGTTTATATACTTTTATACACAGAATTAAAAATATTACAGATTTACAAGTTTATTTTAGAATAAATTGCAAATATTACGGAAAGTTCCGGAGTCTTTTTTTATATTCCAACGAGAACATATCGAAATTCTATATTCTTAAAACATGTGAAAACATATAAATTAACACTTTTGATAATTTTTTTATTATTTCAACAGTTTTTAATGTATACGCAAAAAATAAACTAATAATTAAATGACAGTACATTCATTAAAACGTTAAAAGGACGGTAATATGCGTAAACTAAAAATAATTGTAATATAAAACTTCAATAATTGAAAATTTTAATCTCGGAGTGGTTAGTCTTGAGCAATGTAAACATGAACGGTCTTTTGATTAACTTTGACGATCAAGGATTAGTACACTTTTGGATTCCAACGAGTGAGCATCGGAGCTCTCTCTTTTAAAACGAAAAAACTTATAAATTAATATTTTCAATAGTTTTATAATTATTTAAACAATCCTTAATGCACACGGGTCAAGAAACTAATATTTACATAATAGTACATTCGCCTAAACATTAAATAAACGGTAAAGCATGAAAAAATTAGAATAATTTTAATAAAAGATTCCGATACTTAAAAGTTTTATCTCGCTGTTGTTGGCCTTGAGCAATATAAACATAAACGGTCCTTCGATTAACTTTGACAATTACCGAGTTAGTTTCCTTTTGCACTCCGACCAGTACACATCAATACTCTCTATTTCTAATCGGGAAAACTTATAAATTAATAATTTCGATAATTTTTCAATTATTTAAACAATTTTTAATGTACACGGAGTACAATAAACTAATATTTAAACAATAGTACATTCGATTAAACATTGCAAAGTAGAAAACGGTAGAGAAATTTAAAATAACTTTAATAAAAGATTCCAATACATAAAAATTTTATCTCGCGGTTGTTGGCCTTGTGCAATATAAACATAAACGGTCCTTCGATTAACTTTGACAATTACCGAGTTAGTTTCCTTTTGCACTCCGACTAGTTAACATCAATACTCTCTATTTCTAATCGGGAAAACTAATAAATTAATAATTTCGATAATTTTTCAATTATTTAAACAATTTTTAATGTACACGGAGTACAATAAACTAATATTTAAACAATAGTACATTCGATTAAACATTGCAAAGTAGAAAACGGTAAAGAAATTTTAAATAACTTTAATAAAAGATTCCAATACATAAAAATTTTATCTCGCGGTTGTTGGCCTTGCGCAATATAAACATAAACGGTCCTTCGATTAACTTTGACAATTACCGAGTTAGTTTCCTTTTGCACTCCGACTAGTTAACATCAATACTCTCTATTTCTAATCGGGAAAACTAATAAATTAATAATTTCGATAATTTTTCAATTATTTAAATAATTTTTAATGTACACGGAGTACAATAAACTAATATTTAAACAATAGTACATTCGATTAAACATTGCAAAGTAGAAAACGGTAAAGAAATTTTAAATAACTTTAATAAAAGATTCCAATACATAAAAATTTTATCTCGCGGTTGTTGGCCTTGCGCAATATAAACATAAACGGTCCTTCGATTAACTTTGACAATTACCGAGTTAGTTTCCTTTTGCACTCCGACTAGTTAACATCAATACTCTCTATTTCTAATCGGGAAAACTAATAAATTAATAATTTCGATAATTTTTCAATTATTTAAATAATTTTTAATGTACACGGAGTACAATAAACTAATATTTAAACAATAGTACATTCGATTAAACATTGCAAAGTAGAAAACGGTAAAGAAATTTTAAATAACTTTAATAAAAGATTCCAATACATAAAAATTTTATCTCGCGGTTGTTGGCCTTGCGCAATATAAACATAAACGGTCCTTCGATTAACTTTGACAATTACCGAGTTAGTTTCCTTTTGCACTCCGACTAGTTAACATCAATACTCTCTATTTCTAATCGGGAAAACTTATAAATTAATAATTTCGATAATTTTTCAATTATTTAAACAATTTTTAATGTACACGGAGTACAATAAACTAATATTTAAACAATAGTACATTCGATTAAACATTGCAAAGTAGAAAACGGTAGAGAAATTTAAAATAACTTTAATAAAAGATTCCAATACATAAAAATTTTATCTCGCGGTTGTTGGCCTTGTGCAATATAAACATAAACGGTCCTTCGATTAACTTTGACAATTACCGAGTTAGTTTCCTTTTGCACTCCGACTAGTTAACATCAATACTCTCTATTTCTAATCGGGAAAACTAATAAATTAATAATTTCGATAATTTTTCAATTATTTAAATAATTTTTAATGTACACGGAGTACAATAAACTAATATTTAAACAATAGTACATTCGATTAAACATTGCAAAGTAGAAAACGGTAAAGAAATTTTAAATAACTTTAATAAAAGATTCCAATACATAAAAATTTTATCTCGCGGTTGTTGGCCTTGCGCAATATAAACATAAACGGTCCTTCGATTAACTTTGACAATTACCGAGTTAGTTTCCTTTTGCACTCCGACTAGTTAACATCAATACTCTCTATTTCTAATCGGGAAAACTTATAAATTAATAATTTCGATAATTTTTCAATTATTTAAACAATTTTTAATGTACACGGAGTACAATAAACTAATATTTAAACAATAGTACATTCGATTAAACATTGCAAAGTAGAAAACGGTAGAGAAATTTAAAATAACTTTAATAAAAGATTCCAATACATAAAAATTTTATCTCGCGGTTGTTGGCCTTGTGCAATATAAACATAAACGGTCCTTCGATTAACTTTGACAATAACCGAGTTAGTTTCCTTTTGCACTCCGACTAGTTAACATCAATACTCTCTATTTCTAATCGGGAAAACTAATAAATTAATAATTTCGATAATTTTTCAATTATTTAAACAATTTTTAATGTACACGGAGTACAATAAACTAATATTTAAACAATAGTACATTCGATTAAACATTGCAAAGTAGAAAACGGTAAAGAAATTTTAAATAACTTTAATAAAAGATTCCAATACATAAAAATTTTATCTCGCGGTTGTTGGCCTTGCGCAATATAAACATAAACGGTCCTTCGATTAACTTTGACAATTACCGAGTTAGTTTCCTTTTGCACTCCGACTAGTTAACATCAATACTCTCTATTTCTAATCGGGAAAACTTATAAATTAATAATTTCGATAATTTTTCAATTATTTAAACAATTTTTAATGTACACGGAGTACAATAAACTAATATTTAAACAATAGTACATTCGATTAAACATTGCAAAGTAGAAAACGGTAGAGAAATTTAAAATAACTTTAATAAAAGATTCCAATACATAAAAATTTTATCTCGCGGTTGTTGGCCTTGTGCAATATAAACATAAACGGTCCTTCGATTAACTTTGACAATTACCGAGTTAGTTTCCTTTTGCACTCCGACTAGTTAACATCAATACTCTCTATTTCTAATCGGGAAAACTTATAAATTAATAATTTCGATAATTTTTCAATTATTTAAACAATTTTTAATGTACACGGAGTACAATAAATTAATATTTCAACAATAGTACATTCGATTAAACATTGCAAAGTAGAAAACGGTAGAGAAATTTAAAATAACTTTAATAAAAGATTCCAATACATAAAAATTTTATCTCGCGGTTGTTGGCCTTGCGCAATATAAACATAAACGGTCCTTCGATTAACTTTGACAATTACCGAGTTAGTTTCCTTTTGCACTCCGACTAGTTAACATCAATACTCTCTATTTCTAATCGGGAAAACTTATAAATTAATAATTTCGATAATTTTTCAATTATTTAAACAATTTTTAATGTACACGGAGTACAATAAACTAATATTTAAACAATAGTACATTCGATTAAACATTGCAAAGTAGAAAACGGTAGAGAAATTTAAAATAACTTTAATAAAAGATTCCAATACATAAAAATTTTATCTCGCGGTTGTTGGCCTTGTGCAATATAAACATAAACGGTCCTTCGATTAACTTTGACAATAACCGAGTTAGTTTCCTTTTGCACTCCGACTAGTTAACATCAATACTCTCTATTTCTAATCGGGAAAACTAATAAATTAATAATTTCGATAATTTTTCAATTATTTAAACAATTTTTAATGTACACGGAGTACAATAAACTAATATTTAAACAATAGTACATTCGATTAAACATTGCAAAGTAGAAAACGGTAAAGAAATTTTAAATAACTTTAATAAAAGATTCCAATACATAAAAATTTTATCTCGCGGTTGTTGGCCTTGCGCAATATAAACATAAACGGTCCTTCGATTAACTTTGACAATTACCGAGTTAGTTTCCTTTTGCACTCCGACTAGTTAACATCAATACTCTCTATTTCTAATCGGGAAAACTTATAAATTAATAATTTCGATAATTTTTCAATTATTTAAACAATTTTTAATGTACACGGAGTACAATAAATTAATATTTCAACAATAGTACATTCGATTAAACATTGCAAAGTAGAAAACGGTAGAGAAATTTAAAATAACTTTAATAAAAGATTCCAATACATAAAAATTTTATCTCGCGGTTGTTGGCCTTGCGCAATATAAACATAAACGGTCCTTCGATTAACTTTGACAATTACCGAGTTAGTTTCCTTTTGCACTCCGACTAGTTAACATCAATACTCTCTATTTCTAATCGGGAAAACTTATAAATTAATAATTTCGATAATTTTTCAATTATTTAAACAATTTTTAATGTACACGGAGTACAATAAACTAATATTTAAACAATAGTACATTCGATTAAACATTGCAAAGTAGAAAACGG